TCCACCAGTGGCAAAACCAGCCCGTACAGCGCCGCCGCCCCAAGCGTAAGTACAAACCCCTTCCAATACCCACCAACGCTCACTCCCGCCGGTCTATCACTGCTCGCGTGCATCGCCAGTATCGCCGCGCCTACTGTCAACAGCGCCACCGCATTGATCGAATAGGGCGTGAACCTCTGCCGCACGATGAAATACGCAAACAAAGCCGTGAAAACCAATTGCGTCGCGATAAGAACAGCTGACGTGGACACCGGCAGGAAGTCCAGGCCGTAGGCGTAGAGGTAATCGTCGACGCCGGTGAGGAGACCAATGAAGGCGGAGGCGAGGATGAGGCGAGGAGTGATGAGAACGGCGGGGGCGGATGGGTTAGAGCGCCGGCGATAGAGGAAGGAGAGGGAGAGGGGGAAGAGAAGGAGGGGCCAACCGGCGGTTTCGAGCCAGGCAGAGAGCCACTGGCGATGGCCGCCGTGGAGGAAGTAGATGCGCACGATTATGGGTCCGCCGGCGTTTCCGAGGCACAGTAGGAGACAGTTCACGATGGTCAGAAGGCGTTTCAGGGAAAGGCTTATTTGTGGAGGCGGTGGAAGAAGCGGCGGCGTCGGTGTTGATGAAGGAGTAGGAAACAAAGGCTGTTGACTGTTTGTTTTGCCTGCTTGATCGATTTCCATTGCAGCTAATCGAACTTATCCCAAGCCTCTCTGGTTTGGAACCAAACTCTAAAATGTGCATTTCAACTCAAAAAGTTCAGTTTCAGCTCGAGTTCTAGCAATGCGAAAATTGATCTATATTATGAGTTAACTTTTAAACTATTATAAAAATGAGGCTATAATTTACAATAATTTTGAAGATTTATTGAATTATATATATATCATATATTTAAATTATATATATAATTAAGATAATCATGATTTAGGAAAATATTGGAAGAAATATCTAGAAATAATTTTATATTTTGTTAAGAATAAGGCAATTAATGAAATAATTATATGCTAAAAGATATACTTATTTATAATTTGTATTGAGGTAGTTTAAAAATTATTGTGATGGTATGTTTAATGAGGGTGTGGTGGGCAACGATGATGAGAAATTTTGTATTGGGCGGAGCGTATTCTAAATCGATCTGAAGATTAAGTTGCAGTTCAAGAGGGGTCGATTCATAGTGAGTGTTATCGAAAAAGTGGTTATTTTTATTGCTTATGTTACTTAATTTATTTATAGATTGTATCATTTAAAATTTGGGAATGTTTAGAACTTTTGTAATAATAAAAATTATGTTTATCTTTTTAGAATTTGTTTAAATTTTGAAATATTTGTATGTTTTAATTTTCATTTTATAGTCAATAAAATTCATGTGTTGAATCAAATAATTGAAAGGAAAAACAAATTGGAATTGCAGATAGAAATATAAGTTTAGGTAAATTCTAGAAATAAACTAAATAATTATTGAGGGGAGGTTCCGGACAGATAGAAAGATTTTCAGTTCTTAACTCAGTCTAGGTTCTTCATGCTGAATGAAAAATGCGGAAACGATGCACAAATATTTGTGTTATTCAAAATCAGAGATGATATGCTAGGGGTTGGATAATATACGTCGGTATCATTTTTGTAGTAGGAAATAAAATACCTTGCAAATTTAATTAAATTTAGATGGTGTCATGAAATTGTTATTTCGTGTAGACTTAGCACATTTTGATAAGGCTGTAATTAGGACAGAGGCAAAATAGCAAGACTTCGTTTTACCAAATCAAAATGGGAGAGCGAAATTTTTTAAAATATTTTTGTCTGATTCTGCATTGCCATATGGATTATTATTTTTAGTGGGTTACGGAGGGAAAGTCGCACAATTTTGATTTCGAGAACTCGCATTGAGAGTACTAGAGATCATCGTCGAACAGTGTCCTTCGCATTGTGTTTGTTATATCGATTACGCAGCCTAGTTATCGGTTGGATTGTGATGACTGTTTTTGTGAGCGTTGTTATGGTCGAGCCTAGTCACATAATGTATTTCTCAATCCTATGAGCTGAAGTGTATGCATAAAAAAAATAGAAGGATGGGATGGGATACGGGTTTGGTGAAATTGTAAGGGATGATATTGGGCACTGGTGAAAAGACCAATATTATTTGTTTCTAAATATGGAGATGTAAAATTATAAATTAAGAAACATATTAAATAGATTGCAAAATGCAAAATGCGGGCTTGCAGATGGGATTAGATATTTGGAGAACGGCAGAAAGAGCTTATAGAGGACATCAAATAGAAAATGAGAAATTAAATCAGAGGAAATAATGTTTGAGTGGTAGAACTAAAAGGAAATTTTCTACAGACAAAGTGAAGGACGACCTAATTCTAGCAACAAGCCAGGCAAAAAGAGAAGAAAGACTAGTGTTCACACAGGAAGGTTTGAGAATGAGGATGAGAGAGAGAAGAGAGAGAAGAGAGAGGAATTCTCTTCGCTGCCTTTTACAGTGCCTAGCATAGGACGACGATGAACCGAGCAAGGCATTTGTATCAATACGAAAGATACTAGAAAAGTAAACATGACCAACAGTTTGGCTGTGTGGTCTCGGCTCTTCAGCATTATTGACTCTTTAGCAGGAGTAAGTTTAATTAACGGTAACTGTTTAAATTTGCGATGGAGGGGAAAGAGGAATTCCAGCTGATTGTGATAAGATTTCTTTGGAAGTTTATGTGCTTCTTTTC